TCTATCAATGCATTTCCAGTGCTTGAGGAAAGTGTTGAAAGAGAGGAGGTCGTGGAGATTGGGGAAATAAATGTTGACCCGGAGAAGCAAGGTAATGAGGAAGATAGTTCATTTTCATCATAATTGGAGATAGGAAGTAAGGAGAAGTGTATGGAACATCAGATAGTGGAGAGTGCAGTATCTTCACAGGAAGTAGTAATAGAGACTCAAAAGGGAAATAGTGAAGGGATAGGAGATGGAAGTCAAGAGAGTATAGAGGGGGATCCAATATCTCTTGTAGGTGGAACATCTTCAAAGAAACAGAAAAAGAAGAATAGGAAGAAAGAAGTGGAGATTGATCCTAGTGTGGTTAGAATTACTAGAGGGATGTTAGCCGTAAGGTGGTTCCACCAAATTTTGTTTCTCAATGATAGGACTATGGAATGTTAGAGGGCTCAATAAGCAAGCAATGCAAAAGGAAGTTATGGCCTGGTTGAGTAGTTCCTCAATTTTTTTGTGTGGATTGGTTGAGACTAGAGTATCTATTTCTAAGTTTCAGAGAATCAATGATAGGATCAGGAATAGTTGGGACTGGGTTAACAATTATAATGCTGATATAGGGGGTCGTATATAGTATGGATGGGATCCTATAAAGATTGGTATGACATTGCTTGAATCTAAAGATCAGATGATGCATTTAGAGGTGGAGATCAGAGGGACTAATACAATTTTTTTTTTTGTCACCTTTGTGTATGTAAAGAATACTACTATGGAGAAAAGGCAGTTGTAGAGGGATTTAGAATATTATGCTCAAAGGGTTGATGGGCCATGGTTGCTTTTGGGTGACTGGAATATTGTTAGGTTTAATAATGAGAAGAATGGAAGTAGAGCCCATCCTCCTACGGTGTTTGCAAACTTCAATAATATAATTGATAAAATGTGTTTAGCTGATATGCCCATGGCAAATGGTATTTATACTTGGTGTAATAAGAGGTTCAGTAATAGAAGGATATGTGCAAAATTAGATAGGGGGTTGATGAATGAGGAATGGGCTCTTGCTTATCCTGTTTCACATGTTCTTTTGACTCTTCCATCGATTTTTGATCACTGGGTTTATGTATTAATTTGCCTGTGAAGATTGCTTAGGTCCAAATCCTTCCAGGCTTTTACTGGTGTGGAATAAGCAACCTGCAGTGAAAGAGTTAATGGCTTCTACTTGGGATATGCAATTCAATGGGTATTCAATTCATAAGTTGTTATACAAGTAGAAGCTATGTAATCAAGCTGTCAAAAGGTGGAATATAGAGAAGTTTGGTTCAGATTATGCAGAAGTCATATCCTGTAGGAAGAATCTGACAGAATTTCAACAATTAATGGCTACTGATCCATGAACGGGAATTTGATTCAGAAGGAGGATGAATGTAGATTAAATGGAGGCTGCAATCTCAACTAGAAATATTATTTTGGCTCAGAAATCAAGGATTAGATAGGTGAAAGAGCATGATAGGTGCATTAAGTTCTTCTTTCATAAAATAAAGCAACATAGGGCTTATAGTAATGTGACAACTATTCAAGATGAAAGGGTTATTACTACTGATCCTACTGTGATTAGTAAGAGGTTTGTGGAACATTTTCAGAAGGCTTATGTAGGTGGTAGTACTATGTTATCTGAACCTGAGCAAAAGTATATAAGTCTCTTGAGATTGAAGAGGTTTATATGTTGGAGGCTGTTGTTAAGGGAGGGGGTGAAGATCACAGTGTTTGAGATGGGATCTGATAGAGCCCCTGGTCCAAATGGTTTTACAACTAAGCTTTTTCAATAGTACTGGTCTATAGTTGGAGATGATTTTACTGATGCCATTATTCAGTTCTTTAAAAACCCAATAATAGGAAGGGGTTTTAATAGTACTTTCATTACTCTGATTTAAAAAAAGAAGGATGCCATGCAGGTGGGGGGTTTCAGACCTATATCCTTGTGTAATGTATTTTATAAAGTGGTGGCAAAGATTTTAGCTAATAGATTAGCTAAGGTTTTAGGGAAAATTATAGGTAATGAGCAGACAGCTTTTTTTCAAGACAGGAGGATACAATATAATATTATTATTGCTAATGAGCTTATGAGAGGGTTTGGGGCTAAGAGGGCAAAACCTACGCTGGCTTAGAAAATTGATCTGAGGAAGGCTATGATACAGTGCAGTGGTCCTTTCTGATTAAGTTGTTAAAATTGTTTGGCCTTGGTATTCAATGGATAATGTGGATTCAGCAGTGTATATCTTCTATTTGGTTTTCTATTCTTGTTAATGATTCTCCTCAAGGCTTTTTTCAACCAGAAAGGGTTGTTCTAAGGTAGGGTTGTCCTTTGTCTCCACTTCTATTTACTCTGGTAATTGATTACCTCTGGGATGATGGATTGGGAAGCTAATAGAGGTGTTGTGGTGCCATCAGAGGCTCTTGTACAGGCTAGAATTCTAATTACACATCAGTTTTTTGCTGATGATCTGATATTGGTGGTCAGAGCTAATATGGCAAGTGTTTTAACTGTGAAAAAATTGTTGATTCAATTTGAACAACTTCTGGTTTAGCTATTAATAAAGATAAATCTGAAGTATACTTAACTAGATCAGTGAAAAGAAGGAATACTATAGTCAAAACTCTTGGGTGCAAGGTAGGGAAACTACCTTTTATCTATTTGGGGTTACCTATTTCTGATGAAATGAGGAGGAGAGTTGATTGTCTAAGCTTGGCGGATAAAGTTATGATTGTTACTTCAAGGTGGAATGGGATGCACATATCTATGGCAAGTAGAGTGGAGCTTAGTAGAGCTGTTATCATCTCAATGGTGCAGTACTGGACATCAATATATTCCCTACCTACTGCTATTTCAAGTGTTATTGAAAGGAGAATGAGGAATTTCATATGGGGTCATGTTGAAAATAAAAGATGCATGGTATTAGGTGGAAGAAGATTATTGTCCCGAAAGATGAAGGGGGATTGGGGTTGAGAAGAATTGAGGACATTGATACAACCTCAAAGAAATGTTTTGCTTGGGATTTTCTGTTATCTAAGGATAGAATTTGGGTAGCATGGTTCAGGTAGTGTTATTTGAGGAGGGCATCGTACTGGAATGTTGTTCCTAAAGGGTCTTGATCAGCTGTATGTCGACGTATTATTGCTGTTATAGAATTTTTGAAGGTTAGTTGCAGATATAAGGTGGTAATGGGCAGAATATTGAAGTATTTTTGGATCCATGGTGTGAAGGAAAATTCTTGAGTGAAATTTATAATCATAGGATGTTGGGGTATCTGAGTAGAGACAAGAAGATTTGCATGAGTGAGTATATTACAGATGGGCATTGGGATAAGGACAAGCTGAGTAATACAACACAAGATATGTTGCAGTTGTTCATAACCTTGGCCTCCTCCACATCCAGCTTGGTCTCCTGTAAGCAAACCACATACACTCTCCATTTCTGAATCAACACTTTCACCACCTTCCTCTTTCTCGTGTCATTTAGTCCCCGAACGTTCCAAGACACAATATTGAGCCTCACACCCAATATTAATTAAAATCAATACAAACTCATTTTGCATAGTGTTGTTATAAAATTTTGATTTTTTTTTTTTAAATGGTGAGTCTATAAGAAAATGAAAATACCTTGAAATAATTTTAAAATTTTTCTTAAACTTTTATTTTTAAAAAAATTAAAATACCTTGAAACAATTTTTAAAATATTCTTAAATTTTTATTTTTAAAAATAAAAAAGAAATACATTTATTTAGCTTTTCTTTTCTTTAAATGTTTTAAAATGAAAATTCCTTGAAGCAATTTTCAAAATTTTTATTTTTATTTAGCTTTCCTTTTCTTTTCAATTTTTAAAAAACAAAAATTTAAGAAAATAGTTTCAAGGTAATTTCATTTTCTTATACCCACCATTTTAGACAAATTAAATTTTTTACAACACTTACGGGACACTTTATTCATTATAACATGACTTTGCAACGAATTAGATAGTTAAGGGAGGTTTTATGTGCACTTTTTTCTTCACAAAAGTTTCTTGCAAAAATCTCATAGAGGGGAATTTAATAAAATTTATTCTATATAATAGAAATAAGGGCATTTTTGTTTCAAAAATACCCCCTGTATAGTTGAAGGGAATTTTTTGACCAAAAAAAAAAAAAAATTAGTCTAGGGCTTATTACAAAACACCCTTGTGCGTTTGATAGGTTAGCTCAACCACTTTTTTTATTTGTTTCATATTTGGAGAGGCTTCCCAAAAAACAAAAAATAAAAACCTTGTGCGTTTGATTGGTGAGCTCAACCAAGTTTTTCTCGAGACAAGCAAGCGGACCATCAAAACATGTCTATTTTGGCTTTTATTCAACGTATAATATAGGCTTCGCCACAAATTGATTTTAAAGATTTTTAAAATTCAAAAGCAGTTTTGTAATGCAAAAAAAAAAAAAAATTATTTATTTTTTTTTTCTATAAATGAATTTACCATCCGAGTCACTACTCTTAAGGAATGATTAATGCCTGCTGTAGGAATGTGAGATGCCAAGTACATGATGAACGAAAGAGTATTAAACTCCCCACAAATAGAAAATAGTTGAGAAGTTTCTTTGCAAATATCAATCAAGTCTATTAACGTATTTCGAAATGCCATTACAATAACACACCGTCAGTTCAAAATTCACAAATCCAACTGGAGTAGAGTCAAAATCGTTTTCAGTACCTGGGGTCCATGGTGCACTGAAGAGAATCGATTTCAAGCCAACAGTAGGTCTCACCTGCCGCTCAGTTTCTCTCAGCTTACCTGAAAAAGCTTAGCCACGATCCGATAAACAAGTGCAGGCACCACCGATGCACAAATTTTGTAGGCATGCATCAAACATTGTTACTGCATGCTAAGATTGATATTTGAACCTCAAAGTATCATCATTCTCTCTTTCAAAAGGCAGACTAATATTTGCCTGAATTTTTCCGAAACAAAGTCATTCAAGGATCATCTAATAATGTTAGCGTTTGATCGAGGGAGGGAATACAGGAGAGAGTATCAAACCTTTATAGATCTTGTAGCACATTCAAGAAAAGGAGTAAACTCTTATGAGATGCAAGCCGCTCTGGACACAAACAATAATTTGCCTAATTACTTCCTAATCTGGATTTGGACACTACAAATAATAAAGATTGAAACCCAATTCTAATCTTAAGTTACACAGATGAAGCAGATTGTCCGGAAAAGATGGTACAAATACCGACCAAAGTGTAACTGATTCACTGTTATGATACATGCAATGCTTTTTTGAAGAAATTGAAATTCACAAGACCTCTAAGCAAAATTTAAAAATAGAAATAAACTACCAACTTGACACATTAGAAGGTATCCGCTGCGCCAATACATATTCCAAAATATCCTATATGGCTGCTGCATTTGAGAACTTGTTCAAGCTTCGCCTTTAAATTTTGCGTCGTATTCATAAGGTTGCTGCACGATAAAGAGGGGCTCATTTCATCAGAAGTAATACATATGATGCAGATTTAACAAAAGTGGGGGAAAAAATTCAGAAGGAAAAGACTATAAAATATAGAGCCCATGTTGCATTTTGTTTTAGAGGTCCGCAAGAAAGCAATTGCCAAACATAGGAACCTGCTGCATCGTATCTGAAGTAGCATTTCCCATATTGTTTAGGCTGTTTGAAAGGCGAGAATTGGACCAGCTATATTTTGACACTTCAAGCCAGGCAGCTCTATTCATGAGCATATCCCTTTGATATATAATTACCAGGAGGGACTCATTCTATATTTGTGGTGTAATGGATGCCCTAAACAGTTCTAAGTATCTTTTGAGGATTCGTATTTCGGATATACATTAAAATAAATCAGCCATACAGTTTTCTTTTGATAAAATGAAACATAGGCGGAGGAATAATTTAGGAAGAAAAAGTGTCCTCTGATTGAAGAAAAAAAGAACTCTTGCAATAGTCAAAATGCATTACCAAGTAAACCGCTGAAATCAACCTCCGCGCAAACCATCTTTTGTGCATTGCTCGTTGAGCACCCATCGCTGCTTCCACAGTATCAAACCGCAAATACACATAACCAGCACTGTTCCTATAAGACACAAAACAATTTAGAAACAGCTTTTTCATGTTCGACAATGTTGGCTTCAAAGATAGAAGACATCATTGATACATCACCAAACCAAAGCAAGCAGAGGATCAGACAATTCGCAGGCAGAGTTCTAAAGGTGCCCCCTTGTGCAACTTTTACCATGGTAATTAAGACAAAAATCTAAAAATATAGAATTTTCTTTTTCAATATTGCGAATTAAAATGAAACCATTTCCAAAGTAACACAATATTACAACCATGAGGCACGAACTGGTATTGGAGAACGAAAATATATATATTTTTTTACAAGTAAAGATTGTATAAAAAGCGTTCCAAAGGTTGGAACGCGTCCCTCAAAAGCTACACAAGGCCAAATAAGGCCCCTAAACCCTCAACAAATAAAAAAAAATCAACAATTTCATCCATGGAATTACTATTTCTCCCTTGGACACAACAAAAAAGGGTGCTAACAATGGAGAACTTCAATGTTAGAATTTCCTATTTCTCTCAATTCCTACACCACCAGACGCACAAAGGCGTAATCCTCACTATACAACCTCTCCAAGCCTCTGGAAGACCAGGGCATAACCTATTGAACCCCAAAACTAGGCAATGCAAAAGAAGGTGATCCACTGTTTCCTCATCATTCTTGCACATATAACACCAATTGACCACAATCTATCTACTCTTGGGTTATCCTGTGTCAATATCTTCCCCAGGATGGATGTCCACGGGAAGTACACCACTTTGAGAGGGGCCTTCGAATGCCAAATAGCTCTCCACGGAAAGGCTACCCCAAGGGGCATGCAAAAGACACCTATAGAAAGACCTAACATCAAAGCGCCCAAGGAGAGGGAATCCACAGCCAAGAGTCAGAGACACCTCCCACAACCTCTTGACGATACAACTCCAAAAAACGAGAAACATCATCAAATCTCCCAATCCTGAAAATGCCTCGAGAAACGTGCATCCCAAACTGTTCTCCCACTATCAACGGCTAATGACAATACAAAACGATATAAGATATCCGGAGTGAAATGCAAGTAGGAATGCATGCATCCAACAGCCCGCAGAATGACTAGTCAAACTTATTCACTGGATTTGTTATCTCATGTCTGCTTCTTGTGAAAAAAAAAAAAAAAAAAACACAAATTGAAGTGGAGGCTTTTTCAAACAAAGGGCCAAGCCTCCGTGCGGACCACTAATACGCTGAACACAAAAGTTAAAAGATCTTCAAATTTTGGTGGTAAATTTGGGTTGGAGGAAAACCTGACAAACTAAAAGACAACAAAACAAAATTTGAAAATCATCCAAAATAATGCCAGGGGTTAGATTTATACCCAAATCACCCCTTCCAGCACATCATATTGATTATATCAACACTAGGTATTGGGAAAAAAGAACATTACTCAGTTCTATCCCCCGTTACAGCAGAATCCTGGTTGGGTTGGGTTGGTTGTGGAGGGGTGTTTCACAAAGTGGTTGCTATGAGGCATGAACTCACTCCCGTTACAGCAGAATCCTGGTTGGTTGGGGGGGAACTAAAGACAGACCTAACCTTTGGTATTTCACAAAGTGGTTGCTATGAGGCACGAACTCACACCAATGATTCTTATGTTCGAGAATTGAACCAGGCAACTTATTTTTATTTCTCGAACCGAGAGATCCATGAATCGGGATCCTAATGCATATAGATACAAATGGTCCAATGGGAGCAAGAATTTCCAGGAACATTTGGAACATTTCGTTTCGGAGCAGAAGAGCCGTTTTCAAGTAGTGTTCGATCGATTACGTATTAATCAATATTAGTCACTTCAACAGTCTTCGATGGTTATACGGGTATCCAAAGTACGAACGAGATGGATGTTTGTTGTCCCAACCATTCTTGTTAGTCCCGAGCCCAATAAGGAAAGGGGTCATTTATAACAAAGTTTTTGTGTCGTTGATTCCTAGGTGTAGTGCTTCTTCCCCTATGCCGCCTATTGGTACTAGTGGAGGAGGATTAACCTCAATAATGGGTATTGGAAAATCTAAAAAATAAAAATATCAAGCATATATAACTTATATTAGGTCATGATGCTGTTACTATTCTAACCTACTCGTACAACAACCAAGCCTTTTTCCCAACTACTTGGGTCAGCTACAGGAATCCTATGTTTCCATTCCGCTCTATTTAAGGCCATAACCTCAGTCAATTCACATGTTATCATATCTTCCTTACTAACTCTATCCATGTTAACTTTGGTCTTCCTCTTCCCCAAGTATTACCCTCAATGTGGACTATGACACTTTTCCTAACTAGTGCACTTTTTCTTTTTCTTTTTTGATAAGTAAGAATTCATTAACAGCGTTCAAAAGGAGAACGCGTCCCACAAAAACAGCACAAGGCCAAATAGGGCCTCTAAGCCCTCAACAAATTCAAAAACTCTACAAGCTTATTCGAGGATTTTCAATTTCTTCCTAGAACCCAACAAAAAAGGGTGCTAAGAATGCAGAATTTCAACTACCCAATATGATTTTCCTTTCCTTCAAAGGTTCTCCTATTTCTTTCAAACCATATACACCACCAAACGCGCAAAGGAGTAACCCCCCAAGAGTCACGAGCTTGGGCCCCCACTATACACCCTCTCCAAGCCTCCAGTAGACCGTGGCATAACCCAATGAATCCCAAACAAACTCAAAACCTAACTGGTGCACTTAAAGGTCTTCTTTACACATGTCCAAACAATCTTAACCAATTTTCTCTCATTTTCATCTCAAATTTGTACTACTCCAACCATCACCCGAATGTGATCATTTCTAATTCTAACCTTCTCGTGCCAAATACACATTAAAGGGCATATCAGAATATGTGCTGCGCAATATTTAAACATAAGCTGCATTTTTTCCATGGAACAATAAAATTGAACAATTACCATCCATTGTACAGATATCCAAAGATTCATTAAGTAAACGTATGAAAATATAAAACATGACTTCAGTGCATTACGTTTAAAATTACTGTGTGTAGAGTGGATGTCGAGTTTCAAAATGCAGAATAAAGAGTGTAGAGTCTAGATATCTTGCCCCTTCCCTCTACCAAAATCTAAGTCTAGTGAACCATAAATAGTTAAACAGCTATGAAGATATATGCTCATTCAAGGAATTGACATTGATAAGTATTAAAAAAGGTATTTATATGCTGCCAATAATAATTATATGTTTTCTTATATCTTTACCATATAAGAACATATTTGTTCATTCAAAAACTTCTTTGTTGCAGCCAAGTGGTTATTTCAATTGATAATGATAATAAGATCTATAAAAGTGCTTTATAACATTTCTGGAAGTTATACTGTGTTAAGGAAATCATGGGAGCAATGAATAAAAGATATTCCAAGACAGAAAAGATCGTATTTTTAGCGATGAGAATGGCAGTGGACGTGGGGTGATCTGACTTGGTATAAGAACAAAAGATACAGAAGCCAATATTATAGGTAAACTATCAGTTATCAGACAATCATGTAACCCTGCACAAACATGGCTTTAATTTTTACTCTCATCGAAAACCCACCAAATACGCAAATAAAGGTTGGATGTGAGTATTTAAATTGATACTTGTAAATAGTTAAAATCCAATAACTATAACTATGTTTGGCTTGTCTTCAATCCTGACCAACTTAAAACAAATTTAAATCATTCTTTTTTGCTAAAAAAAAAAAATTTATGGATGTAGTATTTTTAACTTCTATTAGGTTTAGGACTGGTTTACCTTGGCTCCATAATTATTGTTAGCTGACTTACGAGAACAAAGTACCAAGTAGCCAATTAAGAAGCACAAAAAAAATTTAAGCCACTACCATAATACTTTAAAACAGATTCTCTAACAGTTGGATTTGGTTAGGATCCCAAACCAATTAACCTACAATCAACGCCAATATCTTAAAGTGTGATTCATTATTAGTTGCACACTTACAAAACTGATTTAATAATTTTTTTTATTTTTTATTTTTGGATGGGAAACGTACTTTAGCTTGCACTCACACATGTAATCACTCAGTCGAATTATATTTTCTTCTAATACACAACATTTTAGCAAATCATAGGGCATTGGTTTCTCCTTTTTTCCCCAATTTCAGAAAAAGATCCCTGATACTACTTTTTTTCTTTTTTTTTTATAAATAACTTACACTTTTATTCATAAACATAAATAAATCTTAAATTCCTCAAAAATTATATTTTCCATAATATTCCTGCAAAGAACTAGAGCTTAACATCCAAACAAAAAATAACATGATTAGTTTAGGGCACATTGCAAAAGAACTGGCCACCAAAGTGCTTTTATGTAGCTGTAATTAAATATTTGTAGACATGAAAGCATTCGGGCAAGTCACTACTATTAATTATTGTCATGTAATAATTCGCAGAATCATGGAATATGCATATCAAGTAATACAAATAAAGGATATTTGATCATGATAGACAAAATATGCAGAAGACTTAGAGATACTTACTTGTCCACATAGATATGCTTCACCCGGCCAAAATTTGAACATTCTTCTTCAACATCCTCTTTAATATCCAAATCGAACTCCGGATCCAGCTACAACATATTTTTGAAGATCAATCATTCCATTTAAGAGAAGACTAATGATATTATATATACGTGTGTGTGCGTATATATATATATATATATATAGATGACGAATTAGATTACACACCTCAGTAGCTGGATCAAACATATTCTTCAGAAGTAAACACTCAGTGGGGTTCCCAACAGGTTCTGAAACCACGGAAGTAGCAACGTGGACTGGAAATGCTGAACCAGGAATGGCAGCTGGCCCATTGATAGGCATGTTAATGGCTTGCTGATTTGGTGCTGCTCCATTAAGCGCAGGCACCCCAATGGATCCCGTAAGACTACAAAAAGGATTCTAGTTAAATTTAAGTTAGCGTCATCAGGCCAGTAAGAAACAGATGGTACCATATACAAACCTTGTGGCTATACCACTGCGATCCAACTTCTGCATCAGCAAAGCTCTTGATTGAGCATTTAAAGACTGTACAGAAAGATAATTTACATCAGCTCAGTACTAATAAATCTGAGGAAATTTGTACAGCAAAAGAAAAAACAACTTCATTATCCATTCTGATTTTGACTTCTTTCTATTGGGCATTATACAATTGCGCATCAAAAGGTTTTGAACCTGTATTTAGATTTTTAATGGTGTTGTTCTCAATAGAATAAAAACATGAAGATGATTTTATTGACAAAAATATGCAAAATGTAGTACAAAAGCAAAGAGGGAACCCTCCAAAACAGCAAAAGAATAACACCAAAGTTAGCTAACCCACAATACAAAACAAAAGCAAAATTGCTCTGAACTGAGGCTTTACAACAAATAATTGAAAAACACAAAGTTAATAACACATAATTCAAATTTAGTTTTTTTGTTTTAAAATGGAATTCCTGAACATAAAATTAATATTTTCCAACCAAGGTGTGTCTATAGGCTTAGAAGGAATAAATAGGGTATTTAACAATTTTAGGGTTTTACTGAAACCTTGCTTTTGTAATTCATATTTAAAAATGGGTTTCTTATCATGGGATCATTTTCTACCATATGGTACAGAAATCTAGTAGCAGCAGGCTAGAAGTTCAAATATTAATCAAGAAAATTTGGGAGACAACTGACAACACAATTTGAAACCATCCATATACTCTTTCAATAGAGTGTAATAGACAGAATTTCCAACATTGAACAATTTAAAAAGATTGATAAGAAATGTACAAAGCAAGTATAGCCCACCCTCACCCTGACCCTACCACAGCAGGCCATTCACTCAATTGCAAAAAATTCCTCCAACTCTACTCCCACCCCATTCTGCCCTATTTACCAAAATGACGATCCGCCTTTAATTCTAGAGAAATCTTCATGAAATTTCTATCTATTTAAAGCAAATCATAGTCTAGAGAAACAGAAACCAAAAGGAAGAGAGATGAGAAAGAAAGAAAGACAAAATCATTACATATAGAGCGGAAAATTACTTAATAAAAGAAAAGGTAGAAATGGAGAATATTGGGATTTTATTAGTGAGAATACAAAAAGACCAACAACCAAATTCAAGTTAGGTTTTCACCTTTAACCATAAACCAGTACTGACCTGAATTAACCATCCCCATTGGAGCAAGCAAAGGCAGGTTATCCAAGAAATCCTACTTCAATTATCCTAATTGCGCCTTACCATTTAGCTAAAAACTAACATTCCAAAACCCATAATTAGCTTGCATCCAAAATTTTCAACAAATTATCTATAAGTCGAACAACTTAGAACCCACAAGTCAAAGTATTCTAACTATTTCCTTTCCGTGACATATAGAACATCTCTTCCTTTATATAACATAAACCAACAAGGTTTCAATAACCTTAGCCCACCAAAGCTCTATATATCACTATTTTAACTTCTTAAGGGTAATTACTACACAAGGTGAACTGGTGTTCCAATGGTAGGGCATCCCCTATGTGGTGTTAGGGAGCCAGGTTTAGACTCACCCCTTGGGACACGCTCCCCTTTTGAGCGCTTTTTATACATTTTACTTGTCAAAAAACAAAAAATAAATACATGCTCCTCGATTGATGATTTCTTTGATCTCTTGGATTCTATTGGTCCTTAGATCTTTTCTCTTGTATTAGGGATGCGTTCCCCTTTTGAACGTTTTTCTAATATATTTTTACCTATCAAAAAATAAATAAATAAATAAAATATAAAAAAAAAAAAAAATGGTTTCGACTCACCTCACCACCCCACTCCCCTTCCTTGCCAGGTCTAAAAAAAAAAAAGGTAATTTTACACATTAGAAAAGACAAACAAGCTTCACATTTCCTTGTGCAATGCAGGCTATGCAGCTGCACATTTTAATTGTTCAAGAGAAAGAACATCAACACATTTAAAATTTTACTAATCAAAAGAAAAGGTATAGACCAAGAAATTGGAATTTCATGTGAGAATTTAAAGTCAAAGGTGAGACAATGACTGAAAAGTGGTAAAAAAGTTAGCGCTGATCTTTGATGTTGACAATGATCTCCATCAATAGCGGTAAGCACGTAACAGATTAACAAACAAGAGATACATGGAACACCAAACCAGAACCTTATATGGGAAAAGTCAATTTAGAGTATAGGGTAAAAATTGTGATATCTTGGCAATGACAACATAGAATTTGGAGGGCCAGGAAGTCCTAAACCCAATTCGGCCAAGTCCAAACTAGGTATCAGCCTTTAATCCTACCCACACTGACTTGATTAATCCATTCCAATAAGGGCAACGACAGGCAGCTTACCCGTTTACTCAAGAACATTGTCATCCTGAGTTTGTATAATGCACACCCCACTAGATGTTGAAAGTAGTGATATGGAAGCTTTAAGGGTTGGATTGTTAGTGATATGTAGACCTAGAGAGGGGGTGAATAGATCGCTTTGATTTTAACTGATTTCAAATACTATCAAACTTCCAATCCATCAAGTCATCAACATTCAACCATGCAACCAATCATACATAAAATTTTACGAAGCGGGAGGTCCTAATTCAAATATCAACATTCAACTATGCAACCAATCATGCATAATATTTTAAGAAGCAGGAGGTCCTAATTCAACTATCAACATTCAACCATGCAACCAATCACGCATAAAATTTTAAGCCTCAATTACCTAACCCTTGCCCTACAATTTAGGTCTTGCTTCAACATTCCAAACCCATATTTAGTTGCCATCCAAAAATTTCAATCTCTAGCTCCAGCAACTTAGCACCAACAAGCCCTATTCTAACTATTTCCTTTCTACTTAGTATACAAAATCTTCTTTACCTTTATATACCTTGAACCAACAAGCTTCCAATTACCTCAGCCCACCACAAAAAACGAATTGTATACTACTACTTAAGGGTTATCAGGCATTAGAAGTATGTAAAGACAGAACAAATTCTGCATCTAATCGTACAATGCAGGCGATAGAGCTGCATACAGAGCAACCTGCAATAGCTTTGCCTTGGCATCACCACACCTTTGCTAACTAAAAAATGTGTAAAAGCTTTAATTTCAGTTGAGCAGGAAGTGTGTCCCAGATGGGAGTCACCTGAGTACTTGGGAATCGATTGCCCAGCCACATCCAACTTAGTTACAGTAAATGAGTATCAAAAGAATATAATAAAATGAATCAAGTTGCCACCTAAAGAACCATACAATAAACAAACCATGGTGGAAAAATAACACCAAGATTAAACTCACCAAGCCACCACCATCATCATCATCAAAGTCCGCAGTTTTGGCTCCTGAATCTTGCACTCCTATGTGATCCGTAACAGATGAAACCTGTAATGAATAAAGAAAATTGGTAAGACGGAAATTAACATGAATCCTTTGTATAAAATGCCAGTTATAGATACGTACATATGATGAACAAAGATGACAAACAACAAATCAGTATACTGTAATCTCATCATCAATGAATCATGGTAATTCCATAGGAGTGTCTGTGTTTGATGCTGACAATCCTTGGATATCTTGGATACATATCCAATAATTTCTAAACACATCCATAATTTGAAAATAATTTATTTTGAACAGGTATCTAATACTTCAGCCACATACACAATACTTATCGGAACTTCCTGAAACACGTTTAACAAGTCTTAAACATTAAGATGTAACTTTTCAAAATGTAATTATAGTATAACTGTTAGAAAATGCTAATAATTTTTTAAATAAGTATTAAAATATATTAAGAACATATATATCATGGCTAATTTATCCAACGTTTATGTCCATGTATTGTAACTCTCAACTTGTTTGTCATAATTATAATTACAAGGAATTGTTATCAACATATAAAACATCACAAACAATTATTATTTTAAATTTATACAAAGATACATATATATCTATTTTACATGTGTACATGAATATAATAAAAAAATACATATATATTGTTGTGTCCTTTGCGTATCCGTTTCCTACTTTTTAAGAATTTTTTGTATCGTATCATCTCATATCCCTTTTCATGCTTCATAGGTCATCAGTGTCATCATCTTATAAACCCATAAAATAAAAGTTCTAAGCTCTAACAGCAACAAGCCTACCTTGATAACCCGACCAGCAATTTCCAATTTACCGTTCAAACTTTGAGCTGCCTTTGCATGTTCAAGCTGAGCGAACTATAATAGAATGGTAAACCAATCAATATTATTAAAAAAAAAAAAAAAACAAACAAGCAAACGAACAAATACACTTAGTAACAGAAAATAACTTCAGTAAGAGCCATTTTAACTTAATACTTACTTGAACAAACCCGAAACCTTTGCAGTGTCCTGTCTCGGGGTCAGTGGGTAGTTGCACAAGCTCCACTGTACCAAAAGCTTCAAAGATCTGAGAATCCAGGGAAAATAATGTAGATTCATTAAAGGCATTAGTCGAAGTTATCAGCAATAGCGAACCCAACAAGATCAGAATTATAGAGGAGAATAATTAATTTAGTATGAAAAATGGATAGTACAACATATATCTTAATAGATTCACCGAAGTGTTATAAGTCCGCCTTCTGGGCTTTGATCCAGATTTACAAAAATACCCAATTTGTTTCTTCAAAATGGATGATACTTGCATCAACTTTTAGGCCGTTACATAGGTTCATTCAAAAGAAAAAATACAAAATATTTTCGCATATTCTAAAAAAATCATACCAAAAAAAAAAAAAAAGGGTCTTCCTTTGTCCCAGTGGCTTTGGGTCTAAAGTCCCAAGCCCCGGGTCAAGGTTTCAAGGCTGGTACAAAGAAGAAAGAAAGAAAAGAAAAAAAAAACATACAAAAAGGAAAGATTTCTAGAGTTTCCCTTGATGAAACAAAACAGTCTCTGATACAGAGATGACAAGCAATCAATTTAAAATTTTAGAGCTTCACAACAACAAAGACAAACAGAAATCTTCAACAAGCATTAAAAAAATTGAACCTAAACTATGTTTTGCCGAAACAGAAGGGAGCATTCAAAATTTATCAAAGGCCCTTCTTCTAACAGCTAAACCAAGTTTGACTATAAAGTATGCAAATGAGGTTTCAAGGAGCCATAAATGAGAACTCTGCATTTTTTAATCCTCTTGGGTGCAAACAATTCCTTGGGTGGGGGTTGAGTATCAAGTATCAACTAGGAAAAAAAACTATGCATTTCATAATCAATTGCAATGGTTTAAAATGAAACTGCTTCACTGTTTAGGGCAGTGCTTCAGCATTTAGGCAATATTCTAATATCGTTGTTTCTTGTGGCTTTCCATAGGGTGAAGATGCATTTAGTATCACCCGTAGCGTAGCTATTTTCAAAAAATAACCATCTAGCAGTAACAATATTAATAATCAAAATCGTTGACTTATTAGAAGTCACTTCTTCCCTGAAGAAAACAGAATACAAGAAAACCTTAAAATTAATTCATTACAAAAACTGTAGAGTAGCTAAGTGGAACACAACAAACATTCTGGTTGAGTACTGGGATCAATTAGAATAGAAATTTTGGCTGCAAGTGTTACAAGAAGGCTTCTGTATGAACCCCAAGCATAACCTATGATATAAGAATAGAATGAATGACAAAATATTGTAATTTGATCGCATAAAATATTTCCTCCTACGGTCATTCAACCATTTTCTAAATTGAAGAAGGTTAACTTTATACTGACTTCTGATAGAGCATTCAGTTCGATTTTTTATCCTTTCTGTTATTTCAGAAACCAGAGTTGAATGCTTCAATGTCGATGAAAAAGGCTAAATAGACACTGGACAGCAATTATAAGATAATAATGGAAAATTATATAAATAAATTACTTAGAAGATTTATCAAAAAAACAAAAGAAGAAGAAGATTCTTTAGAAGACTATACACAGATGACACTAGAACAGACAAAAATTACTCTGCTTGGAAACAACTGTCTATGAAGAATGCATGCTTAATCGGGATGTGCTCCCCTTTGTGAGTCTGTGATGTTTGGAACTGTAAAGTCCAAATCATCCTAGCCAGAAAGCAAGTTCACCATGCCTCGTGGTCTATTGCAGACTAGATGTGATGATCAATAAATAGAATCAAAACTAGACAACCAATATGAACCACATTATTATGTGTTTTTCTTTTTTTATCACATCCTGCATCCATCAAGGATGCTCATGTGGTGCTAGATATGGGGTAGTTGACTAATTGAAATGGAATATTGTTTGTTGAGAGGATTTATCCTTCACTCACACTGAACGCATACGGAATCCGCATCCAAGTCCATTTATAATGCATCGGTAAACACTGGAGCTAAAGAAGCTTTTTGGGATGGGTAGTTTTCTAGTCTTGAAAGTCTCCTTATTTCAAGATTCCTTGGGATTGACTCCTTTCATTATATAAAAGGTGCAATGCAACTTGCTTTCCAAAAGCATTCAAAAGGGGAGCGCATCCCTCAAAAGCTACACAAGACCAAATAGGTCCTCTAAGCTCTCAAAGAGTCCAAAAGATCAATAATATCCTCCATGGATGTTCAATTTCTCCCTAGAACCCAACCAAAAAAAAAAAAGTGCTAATGATGGAAATCTTTAAAGTCCCCATAGATAATTTTCTTCAAAAAAAATGGCATTTTTTGAAGATTGTTACATACGCTTTGCCCCTAGTGCAGTGTTATTAAAGGCCTAAGGCACACTAAGGCGCTAAAGGTCCTTTGGAGCTTAGGTGAAAGGCGAGATGCACACCTGAGTGAAGCGAGGCGCACGCCTGAGTGAAGCGAGGTGCACAATTGAAAATTAAATTACTATTAAAGCATATTCATATTCCATATTAAAGGCGCAAATGTTGTCAAAGGCGCACCTGGACACACAACTGGCGCAAGTGTTGCGCCTGTATGAGCCTGGAGCCTAGGCGCCTTTAACAACACTGCCCTGGTGGCAACATATATACAACAGAGACAAATGTAAAACGCATTATCACCATCAATGACAAACCAAATCAATATCCAAATTGCTATTACCTGTTTCAGTTGAAGTTCTGTCATGTTGAAGTGTAAGTTCCCCACATAAAGTTTTCTATCAACAGCTCCGTAGGGTCCCACAAGACCACCTGAACCAGCACCAGAAGCATTAGATTGAACGAGATTCTTTTCCGCCTCCGAAGGTTTAACCATAACAGGTTGTCCAAGAAGTAGGTGGCCAGATAGAGCTATAGCCATTGGCACTGACATTGCATCGTAAAATTCAATATACCTGCAGTTTCACCAGGAGCTCGGGGTAAGTTTGGTTGTGAATCTGAAGCCAAAGAATGAAAATAGCACTTACGAAGCACAGAGCTATAGGGGGTGGTAAAAACAAAAAGTCTTTAAATCTTAAGTGCATAGAGCACAAGCTGAGTTTCTTGTGTACAATCTACCGCCACATAAAAAAGAAAAAGTCAGCTCATTATCGCAATAAATAACCTTAACAACTATAACAAACTATACATTGGAAAATATTATATTAGAGTATAATAAAACAAGAAACCAAGGGACATTGGAGAGAACCAGCATTAGTTCAACAAAGCAACATAAGTCACGTAACTTCTGCGTGCAGATCAACTAGTCCACAGAGCACGATACTGGCTCACTGATACCACAATATACAGACAAGTTAAAATTGACAGGAGATGTTGACTTAAAAGCATCCATGGTCATCAAATCCCAACTTCCAGTGACATTTCATAACTAATGATGAGACTCAAATGATTCGATGGAAGAAGTAGTGCTACCTTCTTATCATCCATCTAGATAAAAGCAGGAAAAGATCTAAAGTCTAAATCAATTAAAAGAATAAGGCATCTGAGGAACTTTCTTCCGCCACAGTATTATTACATCAGTCAGCACAATGTAGAAGTATCTACGAAACCCCATACATATGTACAGAAGACAATCTAAAACATAACAAATTCTACTAACAAAACAGATTTGTAGGGGCTATTCCCACATCATAAAAAATTTAAAATGGTCAAATCGTTGCCATAAATAATGGGTGCTGTGCTGATCATGAGTTCCAAGCCCAATGGTGAATCATAAAGAAGTCAACTAAAGGCTTACACCACCATTCTGCCAGACTAAAAGCTAGGTCAGGGATCCGGCAATAAGTTCAAACGTAAAGAAGAACTGTGATCAAGATTAGACTAGGCCAAGTTCAAGTACAACTTCCAGTGTATAACAGGAGCCCATAAATAAACTGTATAATGTGTGCACACATACAATCTTTGTAATCATCAAATAAAAACGCCGACACGAGAAAAAAGGGTAAGAGAAAGAGAGTCAGGTTCATGTCAACTACCTTGAGAATGGAGCATGGATTGAATAAACATGAAAGCAAGGTATTCCATCATCCCTCATCATGTATTCTTTATCGCAATGCTAGTGCATTTAAGAATACAGTCAAACTTAATTTTTAAAAGAAGAAAAACAGTTACTTTCCAATAATACATGCACATAAATATGATATTGCTGTGCAGAAAATCCACGTACCCAACTCCCTTTGACCGCCTTGAGTTCCGGTCCATGATCAGTCGGACATCCCTCACCTGGAAATGGAAAACATAAATGATTCAAGAATCAACTGCAGAAATAGAAAACTCACAAAAAAGACAGAATATATAGGAACATTCTGGACATTCATATTATACAACACCAACTTAGGGAGTGTTACGAGACCATTGGTTAACTCATTCATACATTTTCACTCACCCCACATATACAGAATGTTGATACACAAGAAAGTCATTATACTACTCGTAAGTAGTAACTGAAGGCAGAGGAGCATTTACTGCAATAGGAAGGAAATAATCTCAATAGCATGCACTCGTAATGTTTGAAACGTAGTTTCAAGTAGCAAAAGCCTAAATCATTCCTAGACATGCAGGAAGCAATGAGAAAATCCAAAACACAGTCCATGCACTGCCAGCAAGAAGATATGTAAAGTACCATACCTATGTTTAAATATACGAGGAGTGAACATGTTAAACAGATATTAAGATGAACAACAGGGGTTTATAAAAGAAATCCCACCAACCTTTCCTGCTTTTGAAAAGAAGTCATAAACATCCCTCTCAGCTGCCTTCAGAGGCATCTGTCAATAAGAAATCCATATAGCAAAAAGAATTGTCAAAATAAGAACATACAAAAACAGGACTTCTGAAAATCTTCATGGCTCATAAACTAAAGATGAAGAGACATGTACTAGCAAATCATATACCTGGTAAGCAAAAACAGTTCTCTGGTCCCTTTCTGGATCAGCTTCAGGCTCTACCGCTTCTTTCTTTTCTTTGAATCTCCTGCCACACCAATGACTTCCAACATAATGAGATAATAAATTCCAGGGAAGGGGAACAGAAGTCTACCATATATGACATTATATGGAAATGACAAAACAATGAGGAAGATGATATAAGAGAAACATATAGCCAGTAACGGTGAAATAGACCCATCCAAATGCACAATACTAACATACATAATAATGTTGTCACAGCTATTATAGTCTCTCACCTAATTTTGGCCATATCAACAAGCATTCTTGCAGGATATTTACTAAAACCATATCACTGGACTCTTTCTTTTCTTTCTTTTTTCAATAAGTAAGATTTCATTAAAGGCGCTCGAAAGGGGAACGCTCCTAAGAGAATTCACAAAAAGCCAACAACATCCATCTATAATTTCAGACTATCAACGAATCCACAAAAATATCACTACTCTATAAGTTTTATGAGCCATCATGTCAAACTAAGAAGCACGGACACTTCTATGAAGGTGTCGTATCTGTATCGGACAGCGACACTTCATGGACAAGTGTCCAACACTTCATGGACAAGTGTCCAACACTTCATGGCCATGGCCATAACATAAAAATAATTTTATTATTTCGGACACTTGGTGAACACATCTAGGACACTTGGTGGACGTATTCCAAACTCTCAACCAACATATCCCACACTCTTCGTCTTATATAAAACAAACATATGACATTCCTAGAAACAACATTGTGGACATACATCAAAGTGTCCAACCTCTTTTACTTTAGAAAATTGAAATTAAACACATGTCACGGTATGTAATGAACAAAAACATAACTACAATGACAAGATAGGATAGTAATATCATATATAATATAATATTTTCTTTTTTGATATTCAAATAACTTCATCTTCTAACTTATGTATAGTTGGTATATAAATTAGGGTAAAGTGCAATAAAACCCCTCTAACTATACCCCAAGCACAACTAACCCCCCTCAACTACAAATAACACCCCTCAACTATGGTCTTGGTGTAGTCTTAGGACAGAGAAGGTTATTCCGGTCATCTCCTACCACCGGAAATTGGAAAAGTCCATTTTACCCCTCATCAAACCACAAAATAGAGATAGAGAGAAATGCATAGAGAGAGAGAGAGAGAAAGGACCAGAGAGAGAACTCTGAACTGCTCGAAGGTGTGATGGCCATCAATTAAAAGGGTTTCTGAAAATAAGTTGGAGCAATTCGTCCTCATGATCGTATTGAGCAAGAAAAGGTACACCGACGGCATCACCGGAGGAGGAGAGGCATTGGGCTTGTTGGGTTCAAGAACAGAATATATGTGCGAGGAGGAGGCGATGGTGGTGGCAGAAGTGGGCAGTGGGTTTGTGGATTAAAATGAAAAGTTTAAGTTTCCAAGGCGATGGAGAAAGAAGGTCGTGGCAAATGGTGGTGGCGGTGATGGTGGTTGTGGCAGTGGGTTTGTGGTTTCAATTGGGTTTGACGGCGCGTGGTGAGGTTCGGTATGAATTATTTCCAAGGGTTGTATCGGGTTTGACTGAGCACGTAATCGGGCGATGGGTTAATCACATCCTCTGTCCTTGTGGAAACTGTGCGCTCCGGTGGGTTAATACAGCAAGTTTTGAGGCTTTATTGGGCTTTGGGGATCAACAATTGGATCCAAGGCATGGTCAGGCTTGATGGTGAAATCGAACGAGGTGCCAATTTATTTTTGTCTATCAGATTCTGAATGGCATCCTGAATCAGGTGTTATTGAATTGGGGTTTCTGGATATATATATATATATAACAGAGTTGCATCACGACTCAGACCCATCACGCACCAAATCAGATTTTTCTTTTTTCTTCCCAGCTCCAACGTTGAGGTGGATTGAGGAAAACAAAAGATTGATCGAGAAGATGATCAAAAAATGTTTTGAAATAGTGGTGTTGTTCGTTCATGGTGAGCCTGAATCAAACCATCACTACCATCACTGCCAAAGGCTAATCATAGGAACTCGCCTTCATCTTCTTTTGAATTAATACCTGCACATTCATTCACCAGTGAGCCTGAATCTTGCCTGAACTATGAACACAAGGCTAACAAGCAGCAGAAAAAGCCTGTCTTCTTCATCCCGACCTGATCGATGGTGTTTTTTTTTAAGGCATTAGGGATTGTTTGGTGGGTATTGAACTATTGAGTGGTCAACAAGGGCTGTATGGTCCTTTAAACAAATATTCCCAATCACGTGTCACCGAAATGGGTAAGTTGCAACCAAACAACTAAGTGTAGGGGTGTTTTCTACTAATTTAAAATTTCAGGGGGGTTTTCTGCTTATTGGGGTATAGTTGAGGGGGGGTTATTGCACTTTACCCTATAAATTATTAAATAATTAAAGTTCTCTAATTGTCTTAATCAACAAATATATAAATGAAAATTTATATTTATATTAGTAGTGTCACCCGTGAGTCTTAATTTTTTAGAATTGACGTGTCGGCGTGTCCATGTCCCATGTCCGCGCTTCTTAGAATTGTCGGACACTCTGCCTTTGCTATGTTATAGTCACGTAGCAAAAACATTTCCAATGCAACAAGCAATAAAAAACTTAAAACAAAAGGAATATTGCCTATAGTCCTTTAGCTCCACCCCCTCGATCATTAAGTTGCATCACATAAAACCCAATCTTTAATTTTCAGATTCCATTTAAGTGATTAACTATAAGGTCGCTGGACTAAATAATATAGATATTTACAAGATACTGGACTTCTATCACTTCTAAGAATCCAAAATTTAGAAACTTCACAAAGTGACTTGCAAGATTATTCAAAAACTACTAAAGATCACACGTAGAGGGAGAGAGAGAGAGAGAGAGATCCCATAACATGATTAGTCCTGAAATACTGTCAACAGGCCATTACAATTTCCCATGTCTCACAAATCTGTAAATTATTCAATTTACCCCTAACACCTAAAATTTAATTTATCTTGACTCCTTTAACTTAATAGAACATGAATAAAATAATACAAGCAACATATTAACCTAACATAGACACTTAATAGAACATAAATAAAGTTATCCAAGCAACATATTAACCTAACATAGACACGAAATAAGATTCGATGTAAATCACGACTTGGTTAGACAAAACCCCAGGATGCACCCAAATGAAATTCCCACTCTCCACTTTAACATGCTCTATAGCAATATCCCCCACAAGCATCGGCTTGCAACCTCGGAGGCATGAATAAAAAGTTGATTCAATACGAGTGCACCTTCCTAAATCATTAGTTTTATTAGAAATGAATATTCAATCCCATTATCATCCTTTAATTTGGTTTCCATGGATTATTATGTTGCAATCAACCAGTTCCATTGTGCTTTCTTTAAGTATTGCGGCAATAACACCTTTATTTGTCTATAGCTTTACAACGTTAGACATTGGGATTGAAGTTATACAAGAATCAAAGGATTCTAATAATTGAGTTAAATATGCTTGAGCAAGAATCACTCAGAACATCAATTGTATTAGTCTCTAAAGTAGTCTTTGCCATAGATGCTTTCTTAGAATTCAACTTGTCATTCAGCTACATTAACATCTTAGATGTACTCATCATCTTGATTTAATGATTCCAACTTTAAACTCAACTCAATGGATCTTGACATAAGAATCTTAGTTCTGATGCGAAGGCACAACACCTTAAGTAATGCTGCCAACAAAACAGTTCATGGTGCACAAAAGTAATCAACAATGTGTAGGTTAAGGAATTAAAAAGGTCAAAGAAAGGTTATAGGCTTTAAAATTGAAAAGGGTTGGAATTACTTGGTCCAACGTGATTAGCCGCTGGATTTTAGAAAAGCAGTAGCTGGAAATTCCCGACCCCAACTAGTTATAGTTCGGTCTTATTAAGTTAAAACCACAATGTAGGGAAACGGTTATGGTCAAGGAATTGGAGTTTTAGAATGAAAAACAAGATCTGATCGCAGAGAAATAGAGAAGGGGGAAAAGAAGGATGAATGAGGAAGAGGGAAAGAAGAAAGATAAAGGAAAAGTTCAAGGTATCCTACCTACAATGCTTTAAGCTTTAGCCTCAAAGATTAAGTTGCATCACACAAGCAAAACCTTTAATTCTCATACTCCATTGGTTTAAAAAATTAAATAAATTGTTACAGGTTGATGAGTTGGTGGTTTCTTCTAGTTATACTAGGAAAGGATTCCAAATTTAAGAAACATCAAGCATTGACTTGTGAGGCTAGAAATAAAATACAACTAATGGACGCCCGTGTTCAGAAAATTTTAAAATACCAAAATATGATTGCCGCTTGAATATTAAAATACCATCGCCGCTTGAAACTTAACATAAATCTAAGCAATGTTGTTAAAGGTAAGCCTAGGCTCCAAGCTCATACAGGTGCAACACTTGCACCTGATTTATACAGGCGCAACACCTAGGCTCTAGAGGACCTCTAGCGCCTTAGTGCACCCTGGGCCTTTAATAACACTGAATCGAAGCTATACCAATGGAATCATATATCTAATTCCTGACAGCATGTCAACCCCAAAATAAACATAAAATAAATTCCGAATTACAACAAGACTTTATTAGAAATTTAGAGAAGGACAAAATCAGGCTCCATGCCAAATTCCCAATTCAGACTTTCTCACTACCATGCTCTATGCAGCAACAAGGCCATGAGCATATGGGACAATAACTTCTCTAACCCATGACTTATCACACTTTTGGTATATGAATCTTTGAATAGGCATGCATTAATTTTTTCTCTTTTTGGTATATCATAAGGGCAGCACTAACAAGAGTTGAACCCCTCAAACCTCATCCCCACTCTTGACCCCTTGAGCATCAGCCAGCGGACACATGCATTGAATTAGTAATTATAAGCATTTATGTATATAATTCAGATTCTAACCATGGTTGACTGTCCCTCAGAAAGTTGACAACAGATTGCCGGACTTAAAATTTGAAACCAGAGAAAGGGACAAAGACTCATGAAGCAATACATGAAACGATCTAAACATTTTAATTTTCCCTTCAAATTTTTTTTTTTTTTTGGGTCGGACTGAGGGTGGGGGAAGCGGCCCAGCGGGTAGGAAGATTAACTAGCAACTCAACCTCCTATCTAGTTTTATCGCACTCACTATGATCAGTCAAAATTTTCCTGGTAATCTTTTTCTCCAATAAGTACTAAAAGGAAATAAAAGTAATTTTATCCAGCTATTTTGAACCATATTTAGAAGTACTCTGCTATTAAAAACCAAAAAAGAAAATGAGGCAATCAATGCTTTTTCCTGTTAAAATAAATAATTGATATATCTATATATATATATAAAGCCAAGTAAGCAAGTAAAAGTACTCATAATAACAACGCTCCGTCACTATTCTAATCAAAGACTATAAACTTCTAGCTGGACCCATGAAGGATTTTACACACTGCAAATTTGCAAGGAGGGTTCATTGCAACGGGGAACATATCCAAAATTCAATCCATGGTTAAGAAATATTGAGTTATCATCATCTCTATAGCGAAATAAATATTAACATCATTAAAATGCACCATATTAATATAAGCAACTTTTCGGAGACTCATAAACAATCATTTTTATAATTAAGGAGGGTGCTTGGTGCATTTGTAGAAACTCATGCTATCAAGCATAAGGATATGGGTTTGAGTACGAAGAAATAATTCCAACGATTTAGGCATGTTCCCAATCTGTCCTCCTAGCATCCTACATAATTGGGAGTTTGAACCACATTGGTAAAGGCTCCTTAAAATTAAGGGATAGCATGTTTATATAAGACATCAGAAAATTGAAAAAAGTGTGTTATCTGACCTCTCTAAAACTAATGGCTTTGACAATAAAGATAATAAGACAATAATATAAAATCTAGTCATAGTTAAAATCCATAAATCCATCCATGATAAAATCTGCTAAATATTCAAGCCATAGTTTAAAGGCAAAAAAATAAACACAACATACTTTATCAAAATTTGTTGAAAGCCACTATCTTCACTGAAGCCTTGAAGAAGTTTCCGCATTGTTAGCCCCTTAGAATGTGCAAACAATCCATCTACGATTTCAACCCAAGTTAGATATTGTATTCTTTACGCATTAACTTTCATTTTCTTTATACTGAGACTAAGCCGATTAGGAATTGCATACTTTATGCATGAACTTTCATTTATTTATTCTTTTTAATAGTGAGACTAAATCCAATTGTTTATCAATTTCTTTTCTTTTTTGGGTAAATCTTTATCAATTGTTTTAATTTACTGGCAAAATAAAGAAAATCCTTGTTTATTCAAGCAGTCGAAATCGATCCATCCATTGATGAATGAATATACATGTGTTCGTAGATATAAGGAACTAAAATACACAGAAAAGAAAAAAAAAATTAAAAGAAGCAATACATATACCAAAAATTAAGAGGACAAATATAAGTACTGTAGAGGATTCCTAGTACTTAAGAAACTGAATTTTGGTTGAGCTGAGTTAACAACCTTGAACAAATGTTTATAGTCAACATTCAAGTTTATATTGGCATTAAAATATAACAAATATCTTCACGCTCAACCCAATGGCAAAAAGAAACACAATGAACCTTGTCCAAATCTGTTTATAGAAAAGCCAGTTTCTTTCATTGAAGACTTGAATAACTATCCATATCATTAGTTCATCATACACTGCACACTTTAACTTCTAAAAGTTAAAAATTCAATTTTTTTGCTGAACTTCACACTTGTGTTGAGTTCAATCAATACCATTAAAACCAAAATCAATCATGGAAATCATCAAAATCAAACATATGAAATGAATTGGACCTATATATTGTGAAAGTAAAAGCAAACAGAAACAAACAGTGGAGGAGAGAAGAGTGAAACATCACCTGCTATCTCTCAATTCAAGTTCTCGGTCTCTGCCCAATAACAGTTCCTTCTCGCCCTCGTGCCTCCTCGATCGACTCCTGCTTCTCCGCGACCTCTCCCTCTCCTTCTCCTTCTCCTTCTCCCTCTCCTTTTCTTTCTCCTTCTCCTTCTCCCTCTCCCTTTCCCTCTCCTTCTCTTTCTCTCTTCTATCCCTCTCCCTCTCTTTCTCTCTCCTATCCCTGTCCCTCTCCCTCTCTTTGTCTTTCTCTCTTTTCTCTTTATCCTTCTCTCTAGACCCTCTCTCTCTATCCCGATCCCTCTCTCTATCCACCTCTCTCTCTCCTCCATCTCTACTACCCCTGTGCCGATCCCTCTCTACCTCTCTCTCTCCGTCTCTCCCACTTCGATGGCGATCCTTCTCGTGCCGCGACGACCTCTCCCTCTCGTCTTTCTCTCGCCTCCCACCACCACCATTCTCCTCCTCGCTCCTCGATTTCTTACTCTTCCGTCCCTCAACTCGATCCTCTTCATCATCGTCGGAGTCGTCTTCGTCTCTCTCTCTCCTCCTGTAACCTCTCTCGCTCTTCTCAACGGCGACGCCGTCTTTCTTCTTCGACGACGACCCGTTCCGATTGTCCTGATCCTCCACGGTCTTCTCAAGGTAATCGTACTCATCGAATTCCATTTTCTTCAATTCCTCTCCCTTCTTCAAGGTCCGATCGGTCACTTGAAGATGTGCAACCACTCGTGAGCTTATCAATGACCCGAAATTTGCTCAGGCAAAAGAAATGTCGAAACCCTAGAAAGCTGTTTAGGGTTTTTGATATGGGAGAGGTGGTGATTGATTTGATTCTCTATCTGGAAAATATGACTCTGATGGAATTTTTATAAAAGACGGTGGTTTTTAAGGGAAATTGAAGACTTTGGTGAACTACTGAACATACAAGGAATTATAAAAGCCCAAATAGTTATCTAGGGCAAGTATGTTGGTTCAAAAGAACTTCTAAACAAATTGGGTCCCAAATTTGGCCCGGCTCTGGACTTTAGCCTGATTTTAAGTCCACTGCTAAGCCCAAGTGATTTTAATACTTATTTTGTAAATAGTCAATATAGAGTATTAAGAGAGAAACAAATAAAATTATATATAGAGAGAGAGAGAGTATTAGGTATTTATTAGTATTTATTACTAGTACTAATTAATTATACAAGTATGTGAGTATCTGTTAATATAAGTTGAAATATAGTTTTCTGTAATTTTATTTTTTAATATTACTCTACATTGTAAATATCCCAATTTGTTCTAACAAATATATTTGACCAAACCAAACATTCCAAGATCAAGAGGATGGGAAATACTATTTAAAAATAGCATCAAAATCCTAAATTTTTAAACTTCCAAAGTCCTTTTTCTTTTCCTTTTTTTCTTCTTAATCACATACACATTTTACAAATTGCTTAGAAACCCGCAACCTATCACCTCTCCTTTGAGGGAGAATATGTTATACTTATTAGGCTAATGGTCCAAATATCTTTTACAAATTACATTATTCATTTCACATTTTGTATTTTAGTAATTTTTGTGATACTCTCGAATTTTTGCGTGTAAGTTAGCCAAGCCTACACCCAAAGACCCGAGATAAATATAATAAATTAAATATTATTGATGAAAAGGAAAACTAAATAATAATAATAATAATAAATCTCTGATACAAAACTCCGAACGATATATAATAAATCTTCAAAATACAACTCGGAAATTCATTTCATGGACCCCTGACCAAAAAGTCATAACTGAAATACAAATATGTCAAGTCTACCAAAGTAATCTAAACAACGGCAGTACCCTACGTTAACAATTCCCGAAAAATGAGAATAAATAGTAGTTTCTGATCTGCTCGGACAACCTCTAAGCCTGCTACTGACGAGGACCTGAAAAATGTAACAAAGGTGAGTCAAAACCCACAAACAAGTCATTTCTACAACAATCTAAACAAAAATTCGATAAACGATACATCCCTAACTAACTCATGCAATATCACATAGTCGGTATATATATATATATATACACACACACACACACTAAAGACTCTCACCGGACTAAAGGTCAAATTTAACCGGATGTGAGTATCTCATGAAAAGCGTACACGAGGTGGTCACAAGTCTTCCTTCTACTAAGTCACACACATCCCTATATCCAGCTACCCAGTGGTGTAGCCACAGGGGGAATTGCCTCCACTAAACTTTTAATTTTTTAAAATTTTATATGGAAAGATTTTTATATTTGTATAATTGTCTCCTCTAAAATTTGACAGTACATATATATATACTATATATATATATATATATAACCAAAAGCCTATTCACGATTTTAAAAAAATATATCAATTTATCACTTTTCCACAAAATATGATATTTTTTTTTACTTTCCCAAAATATTATATTCTTTCCCAATAAAAAAAAAAGGCATTTTATCAATAAATTCTTTCACACTTTTGACTTTACCAAAAACAAATGGATTGTTTCCATCACATTTTTAGTCTCCAACATTTTTCTTTTCGCAAGTCTTCACATTTTACAAATTCACAATCCAAACAAAGCAAGCAGATCAACCATTTACCAATAGACAGAGACTCACTCTATCATACTGAAATACGGCAGACAAGTAATCTAAGTTTTTTTTTTATCATATAAATTTACAATTATTATTTGATATTATAATTTTAAGTATAAAATTTATTAGTTATTACTATCAAAATTATTTTAGGGCTTGTTGTTCTTTCAAAATTTAGTTTGTATAATTGTGTTACTAATTATTATTCTCTAAATAAGACTTAGATTTTTTTTTTTTTTTTTGCAGCCCAAATCAATGAAATTATAGATTCACGTACTTTATCAAAATTTTAGATTGATTGGATTATCTGGTATAACTTATAAAGTTTGTTATCTTCATATCTTTGTTTTTTATTTTATTTATTTTTAGTATGAATGAATTTTTATTATCAGTAGATTGACAGTATGACATAGTAGTTATTAAGAATACTTGTTACCATGGAATTTTTTGGAATGAAATTGGTTATCATGAAATTTTTATTTATTTATTTTTATTTTTACATATGTGATATATTAGAACAGTTAGATTTAAAAAATTGTGTTATTTTTTTTTCAAATTCTATTCTTGGTTCATTGAATATGATTTTTTTTAGTATATTTAATTGAGAACTCAATTTTGAAACAACAATAAATAAATGTTTTAATTTTTACATATATTTTTTTGGTTCAAATCATATATATACCCCACAGAAAGAATTCCTGGCTACGCCACTTCAGCTATCCATCTTATCCGACAATATACACCACAGTCCTAACCACTAATCCTGAGACATTAAGCTCGTATCATGACACACTCAATAATATAAATATTTAGCCATATCCTAACAATGACACTAATATGTATAAACTACTGAACCATATCCTGACAATGGCGTAACCACATATAAGATATTGTAACCATATCTTGACAATGGCACAATAAAACAATATACCCATATCCTGACAATGTCATAATAAAACAATATAGCTATATCCTGACAATGGCATAAATAAAGGAGTGGACTTATTAACTAGTCCACCTATACTCACCAATACCAAAACCATATCGTAACAATGTTCCCACATAACAACTGAGGAAGATCATGTATAAGATCATACAATACAACCACAAACATGATTAGAATCATTCTATTGTATATTGCAATTACTATAGCAATTAAACAATAATAAATCATAGGAATAACCTATAAGTCATTAAGTCTGTTTCATCTAACATTGTCAACCTCTAAATTATAGCCATATAGCATGCATATAAATCATAATTGCAACCACCAAAATGATAATAATAATAATTCATGCTAAACATTTAAATACCAATGTTAAATAATTCAAAGATTCAATTTACAACTTATTAGTTGAATAAATTCGGTATTAATATGCATGCTTAAGATTCATGCCAATTGATCCACATACCACTATTCCCGAGTCTTAATAATATATTTGAGACCTAAATAAATTTTTCGGCACCAATTAGAATGCGTTCAGGGCAAAATAGGTCATCAGTGCCTGAGCACCTCCTTATTGGGCTCGAGCACTGAATAGCGCTCGAGCCCTGTCCAAACAACGCTCGAACCCTGTTTCAGGAAAACAACTCGGGAAGTCCATCCCGAGTCCAAAAATCGGCCGTTAAGGTTCCTAAAATATATATGCTCATATGTCCTATAAATTTCCATTAATTTATTCCAACCAATTTAATATGTATAAAACAAGTTTAGCATCAATCTAAGCCATCGATTTACCAAAATCATACAAACATGAACTTATATATACATATACCTATATATTTATGTTTTGGCCCGATTTATATATGCAGACAAATTTATTATTTCCGTTACAAATCCCTAAAGTCATACTAAAGATATATGGAACACAAGATCAATGGGAAAGAGTAGAACGAAAAACTTGCCTTAAGCTTTCGGATTAAAAACAAAACTCCTTCTTCCTTATTGTTCTTCTCTAATGCCCACAGCCTACGAGTTGTCGTCGTCCTCTCCTACAATGGTTGTCCTACGAATAACCATTCACTTTGCTTCTTCTTCCTCTAGCCAACCCTCTTTTTCTTTCTCACGGTCTCTCTCTCTCTCTCTCTCTTGGCTCTCACGCCTCTAGTCGGCCCTCTCTTTCTTTCTCACAGTCTCTCTCGGCTCTCACGACCGTGAGAGCCAAGATATATATATATATCCTCATCCACATGGGCCTAAAACCCACACCCATTTAGGCTTCCTTCCAAGTATTCCAAGACCCATTTAGACGGCCCAAGACTACAAGCCCAACCAAAACTTAAAATAAAATAGATAAAACATTTAAGTATAAACTTAACCATTTAAATTAAAATAATAAACAAATACACCCAACAATTTAAATAACCACATAATTAATTACTAAGCATTAAAATCATTTAAACACATAACCACATAATTAATTAAAATGCAAATGAAATAAATAAATAAATACTTTGAAAATTATAGGTATTATTTTCTTCCCCCCAAACAAAGGTTTTCTATTCTCGGAATTCACAAAAATTATGAATTACTTATTTAAATTCATTTTCGTTTCCCAAGTGGACTCAGCCTCTGAATAGGCTCCACTAATCACAACCGCACAAAATAAACATCTAACCTCATACATGGTTCCTATTATCAAGAACACAATAAAATTACTACATATAGGTTGTATCTAACAACTACTTAATCTTCTCAACATATATATGCCGGTAACATTTCACATTTCGATAGATTTTCGTGATATATATGCACGAAAAACAAAAAACTCTAATGAATGCAACACTAATGATTTAATAGCGATATACTATGGGCTATTGCCCCAATTAATAAATAAAATCTTGAAGGATCGATGTAACGAGTAATAATTGCCCTTCTTCCTCAACTGTTTTGCTCCCTATACAGAAGACACCACAAGTAAATCGATTCTCAACACGTAAACTCTAATATATAAGTTCAACTATTATCACCAACATGTTGTTTTCCTTGAATAGTGCACTTAACATCATTAATAATGTAATGACCTGGTCTTTTCCCTCCTTCCCTTTTTTTTTTTCAGCATTTCTTTTCTTTCCATTTTCGTCTTTTTCCTGTTTCGTCCTTTTCCCTATTTTGTCTTTTTCCGTTTATCGTTTTTGTTACATGACCTCACTTTTTGTGCTCGGATTTGATTCCAGCTTTGCATGCATCTATGATATTTAATTTCTATGATATCTACATTTTTACTTTGTATAAAAGCATGCTAGTTGTTTACTTTCTTGTAAAGGGCATGGATGCATAACTTTTGGTAATTT